CTGCTTAATGAGGCTTTGGCTGTCTGACCTTTAACCCTGGAGCCAAGGAACAGCATCCATTGTGGCTGAACAGCCAAGAGCTTGCCTGAGCAGCCACACAAACCTCACTGCCACAGCCCATGTCAAAAACCCCAACAGAGTCAGGGCACTGTGAGCATCCCCTCCCTCATCTCCTGCTTCTCCCCTGCTCCTTTGCCAGGAGCTACAAACAGAGCATGGGGTCACACCTGGAGCTCAGCTGAACCAGGCTCTGCAATGGAAACTTCACTGTGGTTCAAAGACCCATCACCAATTCCAGAGGGAAAACCCCACAGAGGGCTGTGGAACAGAGTCACACCTTGTGGCTCAGAAAGCACTACTTGCAAAAGCCAAAAAGACTTCAGAGAAAAACCACAACATGCTTGTGCTGGTGGCTGTGACTTGCTAGAAAGGGAGACTTCTGCACAGAACTCCAGTCTGGTCCTGTGTCCTTCTGCAGGATCAGAGACAACATCAACAGAGTCCTGTCAGCACACAAAAACCTCTGCAGGGGAAACACGACCCAGCTGGGACTTTCTCCCTTCAGTTAGCTGCAGTAAAGATTAACTGGAAAAGTTAACTGCAGCATAGAATCCAAACATTTTAGTGCACAAGCCATTGCCCATTTCTCAAGAGTGTTGTGCAAAGCTGTTTTATCAAGTACCTCACATAAGTAAAACAGTTATTTTGGCTTCTGAATTCCCCACAAACAATTTCTCCAAATGAAGTCATAAAACACCCATTTTCTAGAGTGTTTTTGGACAGCATCTTACATCAGCCAAAGTTGAATCAATTTGTTTCGTCCCCTCCAAGCCAGCCAGGAGAACCAACAGAAAATATTTGTGGAGTTTTTACCCCAGCAGCCATCTGGCAACTCCAGTCCAAGCCAAGGGATGCTGCAGGGATGAGGACAGCTCAGCAGGTGGCTGGAACAGGCCCCTGGATGTCTCTTTTGGGAAGTCTGGAGGCTGCTGGGATGGCAGAACAGTGCAGCACTGAGCAGAGGACTGATTCTCCTGGGAAGAGCTGGAGCGCTCAATGAAACCAATCCAGGGCAGATTTACCAAGATGTGTTACTGTTGTCCCCACAAGCACAGCAACAAAGAAATAAAAAGTGCCCTTATCAAGGTGATTTTGTCATTTTCTGATGTGTGACTGACACCTGGAATGGCCACTGCCCTTTCTGCATCCTCTGCAAGCACGTGAGGCACAGGCCCAGCCTGTGCCAGGAAAATCCGTGGTGTGCAGTTCAGCTCCCACACTCCCCTGGAATCCAGATTAACAGATGTAAAAGTCTGAAGTACCAGCAGGCTCCAAGTAATTCTAATGAGCCATAAAAAACAGCACTTCCATGTAAAATAGAAATGAAAATGAAAATATTAGGATACCTACATCCCCATTTGTTCCCTGTGTGTTTAAACACAGAGCTTTGCTTTCTCCTCAGGAAAGATGAATGAAAGTAAAAGCAGAGAGTTTTAGGTGTTTTTCTAATGGGAGAGGAATGAAAATGTTTGGTTAAAAATAAGTTATCACCATAGGACTTATTGAAGGGAAACACAACTTACTCCTCAGCAGAAGGGAATGACAGCACACAGTATTGGGCAGCTGCATTCCCAGAGCTGGGACTTACACTGGTCCAGTTCCAGATGGAAAAATCAAGCTTTTTACCACTTTAGTTCTCTTCAGTATTTCCTCTACAAAGCTAGAGCTTGGATTTGTCTGATTGCTTGAACCTGATCAAAACCTGATCCGGTTTTGCCTGTAGTACTCCATGTGATGTTTTCATGGAGAAAATTTCATATTCTCACATGACAAAAGAGAACAAGAAGGAGCTGATGAGGTAGCAAACAAAACACTCCCAAGGCTTCATTTGATACCATTCCAACTTGCACTTTGCATTCAGAAATGAACACAGTGGAAAAGACGAAAAGCAAAGCGAGTGGCAATGGCCCAGGCCCTGTAACTGCTCATTCACAGGGAGAGGCACTCAGGTAACTCACCTGAGCAGAAGGAACCCAGTGCCAGATCCAGCAGCTGCTCCAAGGAGGGCCAGGGATGGTTCCTGGCTGTCCCTGCTCCCTCTGCACAGCTGCCCCTACAGCCCATTCCTGCAGCACTGCCTGGAATGTGAACCACATCCTGAGGATGGCTCTTGAGGTCTGCACATTTCTTGCTGGGCTCCAAATCCCAGAGGGAGTCAGCACAGCTTTGGCAGAGTTGGGATTTCTCAGGGAGGGGAAAGAACTACCTCACGTGCAGGTGAAGCCTTTAAGGGTTCAGTTTTGCTGTCCTGCCCAGCTCCACTCTGAACCTCTGAGAGCCCTGGGTTCCTCCAGGGAAACCCTCCAAAAGGAAGCAATTCATTGATGTCCAGGTTCCTTTTAAAGATTTTAAGGAATCTTCACAAGTCACCACATCTATGATTAATTGGAAGATCAGCATTATTTAAAAAAACCCCAAACCTTTTGTTAATGACACAGGTGAGCCAACTCTGCACTGAGGAAATGAAAATGACTCCAAGCAGGTCATAAATACAAAATTTTATGTGGCATTTCAGTAAAAATACGCCTAAGTATAAATTTGCAACACTTTGATGCAACAGACAACCCTGTGTAACATTTGCAAGAAGAAAACCCACATAACACGTGCCACTCCCACAGGGGCAGTAGATACAGAGCATTCCAAGACACACATACAAGTTTCACACAGATCCCAAGGACAGGAGGTTTGGAATGCTGGATGGATTTCCAGCCTCTTGAAAAAGGAACCTGCCAGATTTTTTGCATGAGGTGCTGTTAAGCATTCCCATTCCAGTGGCATGCAGCCCAATTGATATTTAAATTGCTTCTCAACAATTTTAAATTAATTTTGACACACAGCTCTAGTTCACAAGCCTTAAGGCCCTGTCCTTCATCAGAACATTTTGAACAGTGCCAGCAGCAGCTTCTCCAAGGCCCTTTTGTCTATACTGAGGTTGCAAGAACAATTTCCATTTCTTCATGATTAATCCTCACAGAGCAGAGATAACAGTACACCCAGATTGCACAAAAGGTTGATCCTGACTTTTTGGAAACGCACCAAGTTGAAAACTATTGTCATGGTCTCATTAGCACTACTCACATGATTCAATTAAAATGTGTTTTAGTGGAAAAATACCTGATCCTGGAAGGTATGTTAACATGAGACTCCTACTGCACAGTTAATTGTTTTACTGTTAAACACAAATTTACCTTTACAGTGTTTGCTGCCTGCTGTTTCCAGATGAATTAGTCAAAGCTGACTATCTCCAGTATCACACTACAGTCATTTTCCTACAAATGTAAAGTTAAGTTGGAGACATCCATGGTTGCACAGTGTCACCTTTTCTAAGCAAAGCCTTAGCCACAGTCCAGTGATCTTTGTAATAAGATACACCAATGCACATCAAATAGGGTCAGCACTAATATTCCCTACTTTACTCATGAAAACAGGAAGAACATCCATGCTCTGTTTAAGAACCCTCAGAAGCCTGACCAAGCTCATTTCTAGATTCACCAGACAGATCTAAGCTGCTGTCACTGCTGCCTGCTTACTTAATCCCTGCTCATCAGTGATCTTACAGCTCAGTCTGCCATGATGGAAAACACTTCCTATCTTTGGTCTAATAACCCAAACCCAACTGTGATGTGCCAGGACAGAGGCAACATAAGCAGAGAATTCAGACACACCACAAAGGGGCTTCTGATCTCTCAGACCACGTGCCTTTGAGGACAAAGTGCCATTTGTGGGTTTGTTTGCGAAATCCAGAGGGAAACCCAGCTCTTGAGAACACCTCTTCGTCTTCCAAGTGCACAGTTCTTTTCTTCACGCTGTAGTGGCCACAAAGTTCTCCTGGTTTCTGCAGACAGAAGCGCAGCTTTTAACAGGCTGCTGTGTGCCTCACCTACTGCTGGGTCAGCTTTACACCTCTCACTGACATGGGACAAGAGCCAAACGCCACAAGCTCCTCTCAACATAGTGCAAGGTGTAGATATTATCAAGTCTGTGTTTACACCTACGTAAAGCACATTTACAGGTGTCCACTACATGGAAATCAAACTCCAGACTGGGAATACTCCTTAAGAAATTTCAAATTCAGGATATGCAGTGTCATTTTCTTCTTTGAGCAGTTCTACCAGAGAAATGCAGAGTTTCTACCATATGGTTTGAAAACATATGGGACAGGACATAGATGGGAAAGTTGCCCTTCTTAGCAATTATGTTCTTTGTAAGCATTAAAAAACATCAACAACAAAACAGCTTTCAACACAAATTGCCCCTATTAATCTCAGTCTCAAAGGAAATCAGCATTTTGCATTTGCAGCTTCTAATAAGAGATGATCTCATCTCTGACTGCTCTTCATTCTTGAAGAACAAGATGAAATTCATGCATGTTAGCAAGTTTTATGCAACATATATATATTTTTTAAAATAATATCAAGATTAGGACACATCTTACGCTCATGGTCATACATCAAAGCAGGAACATACAGAATCTCATGGAGGGTACTCCTCACTAAAAAAGGCTTACACATTAACCCAAAGGAGTGATACACTGATATGTTTAATGACACAAGTCTAACCACACCTAATGCTGTCTACCTGACAAGCCAATTTCACTTTACACAGTCCAACACACGCACATTTTTCTGATAGAAGCAGCAAAACCCAAAGCTCCTCATCCCTGTCCACCTGTGCCCCCTCTATTTCCCCAATGTGATGATTCCAAAAGTAGAAAAGTGATCAAAGGTAAAACCCTAAGTGCCCCTCCAGATAGCATCACTACAGCAGCCTGAGCTCTGCCAAAAGCACTCCAAGCTGGAAATGGCAGGGCTGCACTGCACATGACAAACTTGTACTGGCATGATAAAGACAACTCACTGATTCCAAAGTGAGCATTTCCTGCTCCTATCCTCCTGATGGGAATAAATTACCAAAAGAAAAAAAAAAGTAGTTGTGCTTTGGCAAAATTTCTCCCCCCCCCACCAAAATAATTTCCTCTAAACCTTCTAAAAGTTCCAACACATTTTAAACATTTAGCTGCCACTCTTTCTGCCTGAGGTTTTTAATTACTCCAGCTCCTTGGGTCAAACAACTCAAGCTGCACAGCCGCTGGATCACCAAAAACTGACACATCTGGGGGTGAGCTGCAGGATCAACTTCCAAAACAAATGCAAATAGAAAGGTGCTTCAGCTGAAAGTGATAAAAACAAACCCATGGTACACAACATTTCTGATAGAAGACCAGTAAAGTGCCTCCTTTCACTAGTGAATTGTCTCTGTGCTTCTGTGGCATTTGGGAACAATCAACACTCAGACAGAAAAGTCACAATCCTGCCAAGCTACCGTGGAGTTAAAAGTCCTGATCTTGCCCAGGTCAGTCCTTAGAGGGACACACACGCACAATGATCATTTCAGAGCTGGTGAACTGAGGCTGACACCCCCTTCTTCTCTGAGGACATGGAACAGATAAGACATTGATTCTGATTGTCATGGCTAAGGTCACACAACACACAGCAAATGTGCTTATCAAAGAAAGTAAGCAGGTACTAAGCTTAAAAAAAAGAGGAGCCTGCTGGCAGAGCAGAGCTTTGCGTAAACACCAACGACAAATCAAGTGTAAGCTCCAGCTTCAGACCCGGAGGGGTCTGACACTTCTTTGGTCCAGGTGTACAAGAGACACCACGGGGGAAGCTATAGTTCCTTCTCAGCACCCTGACTCTTCCGCTGCCTCACTGTGCTTTCAGTCTCTGCTTCAGCTGCAGGCTGCTCGCTCAAGTCTTCTGTCTCTTCTCCCCCTGATTCTTTTCCAAGTGCTAAATCCTCCTCTGACTCGTCAGCACTGGAGTTTGCATCTTCTCCATCTGAGAGGTCGTTGACATCAGCAGCCTCATCGGCAGAGAGCCGCGCGGCCTCGTCGGGCTGCTCCAGCGCCGCGTTCTCCGCGTTCTCCTTGCTGACGGCTTCCTCTAAACAAAGCAGAGACTGCAGTTAGACTGACCCACAGCAAAGCCTTCTGAGCTGCAGGGACACGCTCTGAAACACTGATGGACTTTATTATAAGGGATCACAATTATTATTCCAACTGGGACTGGAAACAGACGATCCTTAAAGTCCCTTCTGACCTGAACCGTCCTGTGGTTCTGTGACTGAAAACTTTTCCTTATTTCTCAGTTATTTCCTGAAATCTTCAGTAGATTTCTCCTCACTTCCATTACTTTTCCTTGCATGTCAGGCACAGATGGACTTGGATTTTATTCCACTGCATTACAAACCAAAGACAAACCAGTTTTACTTGGCTCCTGGGTTACTGGTTCACAGCTAAGATCTGAACAGTGTGTTGCCCTTCCTCCTACAAATTTACACCTGAAACTACAGCTCCTCAGCCTCTCAGAAGAGTTCTTACCAGGTGTTTCAGCCAAGTGTTTTGACTTGGCTGGGCAGAGGCAGTCTGAAATCAAAACCAGGACCTGTGCAAAGGAAAAAGGCATTTATTAGCAATAATAAAAACGGCATTTATTAGCAATTGCACAAGTCCCTGCACTCATTCCTTTTAGATAGATATGCACAATCAAATTTACAAAATTGTGTTATCTTGCTTAGAGATAAGAGCTAAATAAAAACACAGAAAAAAGTGCATTCTCAGTGTGTACTAACCAGCATTCCCTGCCTTCTACTACCCATTTTCTGCCTCCTACTTTCCTAAATTTATTCAGTACTGACACTGCTTACAGCTGAAGAACAGCTCAGAACACAGTTGAGAATTTTTACTTTCTGAAAATTCATGAAAAAAATCTTGAAGATTTCCTGTATTTTGGGATGTTATTCCATTCCTGTCTCTGGCTCTCCAGTACAGGTGTGTGTTCCAGCTTTTGTGCTCATTATTTGGCCAGCCCAGTGCAGAACTCAAAATGCAAGGAAGACATTTGTGCCTCACTGTCACATGCTAAGAATAGTGCACAGAAAGAGACAGCTGACACCATGTGAAAGAAATATATTTCAATCATTGAAAAGCTTTTTGGAAAGAGCTGAGGGATGAACTGCACATTTTTTCAGCTTTTTCAGTTGGGGTATTTTTAGTGAAGGAGTAAGGAGAGTTTCTTTTAAAACATGATATTCACTTGCTCCTAGTTATACTAACTTGCTTTGCTCTTATCTGGTGAAAATCTACCATCTAGAAAAATGAAAGCTGTTGAAATTGAATAATCAAAAACATTTGCTTGTATACAAGAATTCTGCATGCACATTGAGTATAAAACATGGTTTTGCCTAAATTCAGATTTCAACTGCTTTGAAATCACTTCCCAGAACTACTTGGAAATATACTGACAAAATTTTTCTTTATTTCACTAATATTTGGGCCAAAGGGCAGGGATCCACATAAAAGAAACAACTTTTACACATCCTACAAGGAACAGTGACCTAGCAGCAGGCTGAACCAGTTACCAGCAGAACTGTGTGAACTGTCCTTGCAGTTGCAGAATGTGCTTGTGGAACAGGCAACTAACCTGAAAAAAACTAAACCCCCAAATCTCCAAAGCCTTAAAAAAATATTTTCATCCTTTGATTTTGAGTAACAGCGTGGCAGAACCCTTACAGTGCTGACCCAAGCTGCAGTCCTGACCAACTCTGACCACACTTGCCACTCTTAAGTAGAAAAGTCTTAAATACAAAAGGGCCAATACAGGAATCAGTCCTTTAGTGGATGGACTGAACAAATGTAAACTGAAGCATTTAATACAAATTTGATAAAGTTTCATAAGAAGGTGACCTGATTTGTATTGAGGGCTCTGTCCAAATGCTTCTTGACCAGGGACAAGCCTGGGGCACTGACCACCTCTCTGGGGAGCCTTCTGCAGTGTTCCACCACCCTCTGCTTCTTCACGTCCAGTCTAAACCTCCCTGGCACAGCTTTAACCCACTCTCACACACTCTGGGTATCACAGGGAAGAGATATTAGTACTCAGTAATATGTTATTAAAGCAAGGTATATTTAAGTATATCTTATGAGCAAAGTTGGTTTCTTTTTTTCACAAGATAACGGAAAGAGTTCTAGTTAACTGAGGAAAAGAAAGGTAATGTTTTCTTACCAAACCTAAGAGCAGGCCAATCAGTAAGGTAGCTAGGATGAAGATGGCATAGGAAACCCAAACATGAACTCCAAGAGTGCCAGTGAGGTAGTTATGAATTTGCTGGAAATTAGAACAAGACAGTTAATAACTTCATACCTGAAACCACTTAGGATTTCTACAGCCAACACCATTACATGCATTGCTGTCTGATTAATAGCTTTCATTTACCAGTATTTATATTGAAGTCTTCCCCTTTGGACACCATTACATCTGGGGGGTTTTTACTGATTTGTTCACATGAAAAGGCTTTTTAAGCAGAGGGTGCACAATTCCTTCTCCCTGAGACACTCAGCATTACAGATGCCACACATAACCTTCACTGAAGAAGGATGGATGGGGAGCTCTGCAGGAGAGTACCACAACATCCTTCATCCTTATGTGGCATCTGTTCATTCACTAAAGTCAAACCATTCAGCTCTTCCTTAAGATTTTTAGCTCTTAAAATGAGCCACACAACCTAAGCATACACTAAATAAAGTATTTCCCTTCTAAATTTAAATATAATAACCCAAATACAGTATTAAGACTTCTTTCAAACTGTGACCTGTTCCTCAAACCTACAAATTTAACTGGCTGAGTCAAGCAGCACAGGGAGTCAGCAAGCTGGTGGGAGGTCAATTATGACATTAAATCTCCCTCAAAACAAACCACAAACAACATTTACAGCAGTTTAAACACAAAAATTCCAGAGTTGTCTTTTTAAATGTCAGAACATCTTTTGCTATTTGTTGAGGCCTAAGCAAAGACAGCAGAGCAGGAGGAGTGAGGAAATGTACACCTGAAATATTCATCTAAATGGAACATAAATTATAGGTTTCTTCCCAGGACAGTTAATCTTTCAGGAAGGAGACCATAGAGAAACAACACCACTTCAGAGCAACCATGGGAGAGAAATATCAGAAGGTTATAAAAAGTAAATATTATCCAGCGAGAGAATCAAAGATACACACTCAGAGCTCTGCTTCATTCTATGTTAGTTTGATGCTCAGTAAAAGTGATACAATCTTGTTCCAACTCTCAACTATGTTTCCTGTCTGAAGCACAGGTTACAATAGTAACATATCTTGCTGCAATCAAACACAGTGCCTCACTATCACTGACACTCCAAGGTTTTAAGAGGATGCTTCCTAACCAGAATCTGAAAATCCTCACTATTTGAATGCCATGGAAAAACTTGGATAGCTCCCAAATTAAAGCATCTTGAAATACTGTAGTGTGAAATATGCTTTAATATTTTAAAGCACACAGCATAGCTAAGCGTTTCTCCTTTACCTCTGATAATTACTCTATTATCCAAATTCATCATGTTCCTATACAAGTGGTGTTGCCAGTTTGAACCCCAGACCCAGAAATGATTACTGAAAAACCCCCTGGCCCTCCTTTCTCCTGCGCAACACATGATGCAGCTCCCATAAAAAGAAAATAAAAATATTCAGTCATAATGACTTTTAAACATACGACTATTCTAAGCGTAAAAAGGAGTATGGAAAACACCACACAGTTACTTACCCTGATCCATCCTGAGAAGTGAAACAGCCCTGCCATGCCATGCATCCTGAAAACAAGGAAATGGAAGGACAGGTTCACAGCAGCCCTGCAGCTCCTCTCCCCATCTTTAAATATCCTACAGCTCCTCTTCCTTCTCACATGAAAAATAAAGACCCTCTCTGGATCTCTGATGTGAATTTATACATAATGGCTTCAGCCAGAATGAACTGCAGGCCACTCACATCTTTGCTTCATCCTTTGTGCCATGCAAGCTTTCCACAATATTTCTAAGCAAATCACTCTTTCCACAAACAAGTTCTTACACATCCTGTAAGCACCACTGTTTGCTATTCCAAGAGGAGACAAAAGTCTCTCCTGTAGAGAAATAAACAAGAAACCCCTAAAGCTAAAGTAGCAGTAGCCAGAAGTCATGAAGCAGTAATTTACATAAACACACACTTGATTCCAGGACTCAGCAGATATTGGAAATGCCACTTTACATAATGATCAGTGCCCGTATTTTTTCTTTTAATCTCTTTTCAAATATGACATAAACAAGCCCCAGCAGACACAAACAAAAGCAAATGCAGAAAATAAGCTGCCTGTATAGGTGAGAAGCTGGGGATCAGCCTGTCAATACTGATGGCTTCTGCAAGTCCAAGGAATAAAGGCCTTTTGTCTCTAAATTGTCAATACAGGACTCTCAGTGAATACAGAGATATAAAACATTGTTCTTGTTAACAAAAACCAATGTTACATTATAGAAGACGGAGACTTCCATCCTGCCACAGGCTCCACAGCTTCCCATTTCCTCTCCAGGATGTAGCCTTGGAGATCCTCCAGGGTGCGGGAGCCGCGGTATCTGCGGAACACTCCATCGTTGGCGCTGCAAAACAAACCCATCAGCACACACAGCCCCAAATCCGGGACAAAAACCCACCCAAAACCCCACAGACACCACAGATCTCACTGGCTCGGAGTGAGGGTTTGGGAACTGCAATCCAGCATGGAAAAATCTGAGGTTTTAAACAGCACAGGGTTTTGCCATTTATAAACTGCTATTTTTCTTAAATGTTCACTGGTACTACAGCAAATACACAAAGCACATGAGGTTAACAACCTGACCATTTCTAAATACAAATCAGAATTAAAAGTGCACATATATATGTATTTGTGTATCTGCACAACCCATAATCCTCTGACTTAATGAAGGGTTCAATACTTTAAGGATGGCATCACCTTATTGGAGAAGAGATACAGCAAATGTCTTCTCTGCTCCATTTTTAATAGTATGGATAACAGGGAATCTTAAAAAAGTCACTTAAGCTAAAGGAAAGCCTCACATAAGGAATCCATCATGCAATCAAAGCCACAATAACCTGAGCCGAAATTGACAGTCACTATTCCTTCATTTTCCCCTACTTTTCAGTTATAGATTAAATCAAATGACAACAGCTGCAGTTTCCAGTATGACACACTTACTGGTAAATTGTAGGAAGTGTTGTGACAAAGAAACGACCACTCAAGCCTAGAAAGGAAAGAAAACACACAAACAGTTCAGTAACATTGAAATTTCTCAGCATTCTGACTTACCTATAAATAGCAACATGTCTGTATTTTACAGCAGGCTGCACAGCTTTCACCATTGTTTTGTAAATACAGGTTAACAGTTTGTCCTCAGATACTGCCAAAAACAGTAACAGATACTGAATATTGGTTATAAATGAAGGAAGAACGTTTAGCTTGAACAATGTTTGTTTACTGAGAGGTATTTTCTCATCAATGGATTTGTCTCCTCAGTATTTGCACACAGCTGAAGTTGTGCACCAGCCCAGCATTAGATGCACTCAGAGTCCATCAGAAAGGGCTGAATTCCAGTAGGCAGCAACTGCAATTCATCTCAAGTACCAGTGTAAAGAGTATGGTTATTTAACTTTGCCTTTTAGAAAAGTCTGAAAATCCTCTGGGAAATGAAGGCCTTATGCAGCCTTCAATAAAGCAAACAGCTCTAGGCAACAGAATTAGCCATGGAAAAATATTGTAGCAACAGGGTTTCTGCCTTTAGAGACAAAGATGAGCCATACTGAAATAAGGCAGGTATTTTTAAAAGTTCCACTGGTAATGTTTTCCTCAGTGTGAATTCCTCAGTGGAACACGCAAAAAAAGGGTTATGGCTTTTTTTGTTGTTTGGTATTTTGTCTGAAGACATGTAAAGCAAATGATCTTTAAAGTCCCAGAAAAGAAAGCTTCTTTACCTCATCTTTAGAGCTCTCTGCCTGTATTGCTACAAGAGCCAAGGTGATGAAAAACTTTCTGGAACACCTAAAAGTTGTGCCAGCACAGGGGGAGAGAAAGCAAACAAACCCACAAGTGTAGTAGCACAATTAATAAAGCAGACAGCACAGCTGCACAAGGAAAAGTGGGTGGAGAGACACAAAGAACATAATTAGCTTAACAACAGAGAAAGTCATGGGAACACTGACAGGCTTTTTCAAGTTCTTACAAATGCCACTCAGGCAAAGGAAATAAAACAGCTCAAACCTCTCATCTGTGGCCTATCCTGAACACCTCAGAAGCAAATCTGAAATCTATAAGTTATGAAATGCATCTAACCATCCCCAATATTTTTGGTGGAGGTTTGCTGGTTATCTAAGGCACCTCCCTAGATTGGTAAAACCAGATGTGAGTCAGCTACAAAATTTAAGAACACATTAAATCGTTTTGGTGCCTGTTGAATACAATCTTGAATTGGCTACAGTACAGTATCTGTGAATGAGAAAGTGACATCCACTATGAAATCAGCAGTTAATCAAAAATTTAAAAACCCTTTTATCTGAGGCATTTCACAGATATGCACACCTCCAAAAACGTACAAAGAATAGAGCTGTCATCCAACTACTTTCAACCAACAACTACTCAAAGAAGACACACAAGATCCAAGAAGTCTTGCTGTAATTGACAGGTGAATGTTGTGATCAGGAGCTTTAAAAAGGCACCACAAATATGCAGAATTTAAGGGTCCAGAAGCATGTGCACTATGTGCCTGATCCACACTGAATGTTCCAATGCAGAAGATGAGGCAAGAGGAAGCACTTGAGGGCTGGAACATCGAGGACTGAAATGTGCTGTGAAGCCATTAAGACTCTGGTGGATTCATTCTTCAGGCATCTCCTGCAATTAAGCCCCATGAATGGCCACTTTCTCCTTTGCTTTGGGAAGTGCAATTTTATGTAACTCTGCACTCATCTCACGGTTTTCCCCTAATTTAACACATTTTGACTACTTTCAATTCAATGAAGGGGTTACATAACTGAGACTAATTAAAGTACCATTGTGCAATCAAGAAAGGAGACAGAGCACTTGAACACAACTGAAAGGCTGATGCAAAGCCCACAGTAAAAATACCTCAGTAACTTTGGAGAGCTCCATAGAAACTCATATCTTCCAAATTACATCAGCACCAAAGGTCAAACACGTAATAAATGTTTGTTTTCCAGTTTGAGCATTCCTTACTTCTAGAAGTGCCTGCAGCTCCCAGGGCTGAGCTGGATGTTGGAGGTGTATTACATGAGCTTTGCTACAAATTCATCATTTTGGTCAGTCCTTGGACTCGGGAAAAACCATGCTTAGGGGTCAGGACTCTCAGCAACATTAGAAATCCAAGTATTAGGTTACATCTATTTAAACAAGGCAATATTAAAACTCATCTGTTTATAACACTATATAATGATTAGTATAGGCAGCTTTTTGATACCAGACTTTTTTCTCTACTTGTGAACTTCTAGCAAGACATAAACCTACACAGGGTCTAGAAATGCTGGCATTTTCTTGTCAATTCAGATTGCTGATTCTGAGACAATACTTTTGACACAGAAAATCTGTTCAGCATGTATTCAACTAATAAACACATTTTTCACACACTTTATAAAGCAAAAACAAAGAAGAATCAGTGAAGTCTGGCTTTTTTTTTCTAATAACATCTCATCTACCAGTCTTTTGATACTGCTGATAAAATCCTTTATCCCCTTAAAGCCCAAGCAAGCATGAAGCATTCTCAGGAGATGCAGAGGTTTATACAATATTAATATTGCTTGTACAAAGACACGCTCAAAACTTTGAAGGGAGTCACCAAAGGAATAAATTCGATTGCACTCGTGCTTCTGTGAACAGTTAGGGAAATGTTTTTATAAACATATTTGCATATGTGCATCACCAACAGGAAACAGCAATAACATGTGTAATACAAAGCACTGCCACAATTAAAGCAGTGGCAAAACAGTTAGAAACTTTTAATTAAAACAGGATTGCTCTACCACACCCTGAAATTCTCCTAACAGGAGGGTACAGAGCTGGAATCTTCTGCAGACAGGTTGGAGGAACGAGACAGGCAACAGCTTCCAGTGCAGAAGATTAAAATAGAGAATAAGCCTCTTGTAAGTCAGTATTAAGCCAAATCACCCCCCAGTTCTTTAATCCTTCAAACTGAGTTTATCAACTTCAGCTCAGAAATACGAACTGTATGGAGAAACAGTGTGGAGAAGATGATTTTGACTTGGAAGCCTAAACAAACAGCAAATGGTGGTTGTGCTGGATAATTCAGTTACTGAAGACAGTGTTTGCTGCAGTACCTGGCTCCTGAGTGACATCCACCTTGCCCACGGCAATGCCGAGCCGCTCGCTCTCCTTGGCAAAGCTCTCCCAGGTGGGCTCCAGCTGCCGGCAGGCCGGGCACCACGGGGCGTAACTGGGGGGAAGGCAGGAAACATTTTATATTCTTCCATTACACACATGCTCATTGATCTATCATACAATGTACAAACACATCAATCACAAAGGGAAAGCCTACAGTTTTTCTTAATCAAGTCTACTGAGTAAGACAATCAAAGTTTTTTTATCAATCCCTATGTTCCTCCCCATGTTATTAGAACAAAACAAATCACAGATTTGAGAAATTCATATCCAAGCTCCTCACCACTTGTGATTTATTCTATTTACATAGGAAATAAAATACATTTTCATGGCAGCTATCTGAATTATTGAAGCCAGGCTGTCCTTTGAAGCAGCATCCTTCATCACAACAATTTGTATTGATTTCCCACACCTCAAAACTCCTGAAATTACATTTGCCTTAGCCCACTACTCATACATCACAACACGCCCTTTTTGAGATCAGCCATGAGACTTGAAAAGAGCACACATAAAATTCCTGCTGCTCATACTTATCATCTTGTTTTACCCAGGATTCATTTCAGAAAAATAGGAGTGCTCTTTTCAAGAGTGCATTTTCTACACTCTCAATCAGAAGAATTAAACCAATTTTGTACCTATTGCTAACATCAATCTGGAAACAGAGCAGCTAATATAAAGCATAACATCAGATAAAATTCATTATAAAAATCCCTTTTTCCACCTTTCTGTATTTTATCCTAACTTGGTTGGCCAAGCCTGCAGGGAACCAGGACTAGGAGGTACAGGCTGAGCTGGGGCCATTGTGCATGCACAGACTCAGCCTTTTAGCAATGAGGAGAGACCTTCATGGGCTTTAATGCGACTTACCAGGGCAGGGATGCAGGTTTCTGGCAGCAAAAGCAGTGAGTTTGGGGATACTCTCCTGATCACAGGGCTCCTCAGATGCCACCACGCTCCCCATCCATTGCAAAGCACAGAACCACATTCCCTCCTGGGCAGAGTCCAAGATCCTGAGCACAAAACCATCCCTGGGAGCCTTCCCAAGGCTCTCCACTCCTCTGCTTTCTCTGCCACCCCTGCTGTGTGACCTGGGGACTGGCAATCCCTGTTCTCTGGCTCTCAGGAATGCTTACTTCCCTACTGGCTGCAGACAGAGATATCCCTGCCACCCCCAGATGTTTCATATCAATCAAGCTTCATGTAAAACAGGTCATTTCTCACAGAAGAGGTGGAATCAGATGTACTCTGAGTGCCTTCTGGTAGTTTTTAAACTGCTGTATTTAAAAAAGGGAATCTTGGCAGTTGAAAAGACACAAATTAAAAATGCTTGTTTTATTTAACTGTACTAGAAATTTATGAGTCTAACTGTGAAAGCCTATATCTTGTCTTTTTAAGTCAACATCACTCTGTGTGAAAGCATCTGCAAAAAGGACACAAATCTTATCCTGCCAAGAGACAGCCCCTCAGTATCTCCCCAAAGGATACTGGAAACAAGTCTCACACACAGTGATGTTCTCCATTGTGCTGCTGGCCCAGAGAGAGCTTTTAATAACAGTCTGGCAGGTACTCTGTACTCCTGTAGTCTACAAAGAGGATTATTTCATTATACAGGCTTGACTGATAAGAACCTGCAAACATCCATCAGATAATGCAGCTGCTGTTGAGCTAAAATAAAAGAGAAGCTTCACTGTTTTCTAAATCCAGCTTCTCTAGATGTCTCAGATTCACACCATGAGATTTTCAAAACAAATACATCCTTTAGCCTGTTTAATCTGATTTTGGAATAGAAATTTTGACCCCATCAAAATTTACATTTACATTTGACATGCATGAGCATTTCTCCTGAATGAAGTGGAATATTCAATACACAACTAACTCTTATATGATTGAAAGTATTTCCTTTAGTTCAAAGCAGCATGAAAATCTACCCATGCCACAGTTCAGCAGTGACAGGATGTAACAGTGAATTTCACAAAAAGCTGTGGTTGGTGGCTGTCTAATTTTTAGTATCAATACTGGACATGGGATGGCAATAGTTCCAAATAATGCTGCAAGATGCAGCCACTCCAGCTGAACAGATAATCAGGACTAAAATATTTGCTTTACATTCCTGAAATTACACGTGCAGTTCCTGCCAGCAGGAAACAGCCTGTCCCCACACGCTCCAGAGACAACTTGTAACAGACATCAGATTTCTGCCAGAGTTACCACTGCTGTTCACCTCCACACCCTCACCTTCCTCAAGCTTTCATGCCTGCATTTGTTGTGCAGCATCAAGGAATTCATGCCTGCCCCCTGGATATAACAAATAAATTACATTACCAAAGCTTTGTGTCTCTTGCTCAGTCGTAAAATACTGAAAGAGTCAGTGTAAGGGGAGGTAAGTTACAGAATAGTAAAATACCTCACACACTTAGGACATCTCAGCAAAAGTTGGAAAAAACTTTCTGCACCCTGAAGGACAGAGGGAAATGCTTTCAACAGGGTTTTTAGAACTGTGACAGATTTGTATTTCTAAAGAAATTACAGCACAACTGTCATTCTTAAATTCATAGAAAACAATATCATCTGCAGGAGCAGGGAAACAGACCCTTGTGTCTGCTGTGGAACCAGTCTTTGTTGCTTTCCAAGGCACAAAATGCAAGAGCAGGTCCCTGGCAAAGGCAGAAGTACCCAAATTTCTTCTGCCAAACACCAGGCAGGGCAGGAAGCAATGAGCACTTTGTCACCACCACCAAATTTCAGGCTGTCACCCCCAATCCCCCTCCCTATCAACCTGCAGGGCACAGGGTGCAGTGCAAAAGGTGTGACAAGAAAACAGGCTGCTCCAAGCCAAAAATCAAAATCTTCTGGAATTTGAATCAAGATTTGGGCACTCTGTTAAGGAAAGGAAGCTTTCAGTAGCCTGTTCCACATTAAAAGGCAATTTGCTGATCTCCATCACAGCTAGAAGTTACACACTGCCAAACTACTCACTGCAAGCAGGTACTGCACATTCCCCACACACACCTCATTCCTGATGCTTCCAGAGCTCTTCCACAGCAGTTTTACAGCTGGAATGCTCTCAAACATGGCCAGCCCTCCATAAAAAAGGCACACATCTATCACTGCAACAACAATTAAAATCACTATTTCCAAGAATCCAGGCATTTTCTCCTGCTCCTACTCTATTAAATACCTAAAGCTTTTGCAGAGGGCATATAAAAAGCAATTGAAAGGCAAAGTTTGAAGCTCTCAGGCTTTGCTTTTGACTTCTATTTATCTCTGATCTAAAGCACAAAGGAACGACCTTTGGCTTTCGAATACCAACAGCTTCACTGAGGCAGCACAACAAACCCCAGCCAAGTGAAAACCAGTTTGAGCAAAGGTGCCACTCTGCCTATCAGCCCCAGTGCATCAGCAAACACACAGACTTTGTTAAGATGTACTGATATTTTCCAGCTCTGAGCCGCCTCTCTCTCTGCTTGCACCTGCCTGGCCACTGAATTCACCATTCCACCCTTTCCAAGTACATTTAACTGACTCCCTTTATCTGCCTTCTCACTACCATTACCAACAATAGCAGATGCAACTCTGAGTACCAATCGACACTTTGGCAATTTCAGCAAGCTGCACAAATCCAGGAAAAAGGAAAAACAGCTCATGGATACAGCATGAGAGGATTTGCTGAACAGCAAACAGCAAACCTTCCTTAAACCAAGCTGCTTGATGGAGTTCATATTGGGAGTGCTATTTTAATAAGAGCAAAAATGTGGGGACAATACCCAATGGAATGGTAAAAGCAGCAGCAGAATTAAACTCTTATTTGTATTTAAATAGTTTTGCTTTATTGCTACAGATCTCATAAGCATACAACATGAAAACAAGAAAAGACAATTCTAAATACAGCTGGGTCTTGGGGCAGGATGGGCAGCTCTGTAATGCCAACAAAAGCAAAGCTCCAGATCAACTGAGTTTTTAATGGCTTTCCAAGTGAGCAGGTGGCAGGCAAAGATACAGAAGCTGGTCCCTGTCATTTACCCCTGTGGATCTGTATCACAACACAAGCCCTGGAAGCTGTCAAGGAGCTTCCTACCGAGCGCCAAACCAGACAAAGCTTTTTTTAAAGAAGGAGAAATTATTTTTAAAATAGAAAGCAAATCAATAACGAAAAATTATGTGAATTACTCTAGAGCTTCAGCAGATTAAGTTCCATCATTCTACATGTTTCTATGTCCCCTTCTGCACCTGTTTTGTTTCTGCTACAAAGTACATTTCAGCATCACATTGCTGCAGGTTTTGTTCAGCCAAAGCCCTGCACAACACTCAGCTGTGGGTTATTAAATGTTTGGTCACTTCCTCTGGACTCAGCCAGCAGAGCTGCAGAGGCTTCAAAACCAAAACAGTGTTGATAACTTGATTTTCATTCCCCCTGCTTTTTGGCTTTTATTGGGTTTTGGGTTACTGGGTATTTAAGAATAAGACAAAGAAAAGCCTGGACACTAACAAGACACCCTTAAGTGACAGAAAATTCTCAACCTTGTTGAATTCTTAACTGACAGCACTTGTTAAATATTTAGCACAGCATTTGGGATTTGATTTACACACAGTACTTCAAGGCAACCGATTAAACCATCCACGTACCAAAACATGCAATTTCATTTTTAGCACACTCCCTTGAAGCTACAGACCAAAGGTGCTGGTGGAGGCTCAACCCTTGCAAGCAGCTGGCCACGGAGACAGCAGGGCAATGTTCCATAGTAAGCGACAATGAAAAAATAAAAGTAGTCTTGCACTGTAAGAATAATAACCCTTAGAAACATGACTATTAACTGGTCTCCTGACTTTCACCTGGCTAGAACTGAAATGGACAATGAAGACATTGTTTTTCAGGTGCACACTGCAATGAGTCTGTGCTGAAACAGAGGGGAACCAAAACATTTAATACCCGAAGTGGGAACAAGCACATGAAGTACTGCAGATGCACCAAGAGCATAAACAGTTTCTTTTGTAACCAGAGGCACAAAGACAAAGAGTTCATTGATAGGTTGGGCTTCTTGTTTGCTTGTTTTAATTTACGTCAAAAAGAAGAGGGTGTTAAATTAAGATAAATCAAGTTTGGAAATGCAAAATGCACTTTTAAGTAAGCAGACCAGAAATTAGTTTTCTGTGCTCCAGACAGACACAAGATTAAAGACAAAAAGAAAACTCATCATATTAATGAATCATTATCTCACAGCTACAGAAAGAGGGAAACTTTTAAACACAGCTTATTGCAGCATCACACGCACAGCACTCCAGCCCAGACCTGTGTGCTGTGATAGCAACAGCATCCAAAAACTGGTGCAACGTCTGCAGATCCAGAACCTTCTCCAAAACATTTTTATCAATAAAATGCAGCAGCACTTCCAGGGCCTGCAGTTTTTCCAGCTATGAATAACGAAATATTTGCAAAAAGCCAGTCAAGTACACACACCTCAGCTAGGGGGAGTGAAGGAAGAAAAATCCCATTTCTGCTACAGATGCCACACACAAGTAATTTCAAACTTTAATTTCTCTATTTATGCACCTGAGAACAACAAAAAAGTGGAATTACACAGTGATTTTCCACTTTCCCAAATAGAAAAACTGACATTAAACAGCAGCTGTACCTGTTCCTACTACAGCAGGAGGCTTCAAAAGAGTAGCAGATGAAAATAATATTTTTTATGAAGATGCAATAGTAACACTTCCATTAAAAAAAAGCACTGCTCGAAAAACAAAAGTGTTCTAAATAAATAGGAGGTTCTCCAAACAAATGAGGCTGTAATGGACATTACTGCAGTGCTGCCAGCCAGCCTGAGACAGCACAGAAGGAATGCATGGGCTGACACTCAGGACTCCTGTTTGGATCACTTGCTCTAAACCAGATAAAAACCAGCAGAAGTCAAAATCCATCAGAAAGCAAACTGCTGCAAGAATTGGGTTAGGCTGTGCTTGCTCTCCTCCCCACCTGGGCTGAGAATTCCCACCTGGAGTTTCTGCCACGAGCCCAATAAGGAACAATTAGGCAAGAGGGACACAGCTGCTGCCCATGGAAAAACTCAGTGGCTGTAACATGCTGCCTCCCCCAGCTTCACTCCCAAACTAAAACAGAATTTTCTCCCTTCTCTTAAGGGTATTTTAACGGTGAGGAGCAGGGATGGGGAGGAAACTCGGAGCAGATTTCATCCAGAAAGGGCATTAGGGGAAAAATCCCAGACTGGATTCTGCCCAGGAAACATTCAAAAAAAAAAATCAGTCCAAGAGCTCCAACTCCCACTAAATTCACACCAGCAGCACTGAGTCTGCGCCCTCATTAAAGACAAAGGTTCCTCCTCAGGAGAAAAGCAGAAAGCACCAGCAATGAACCACAGGAAATAGCAGGGAGACCCAGGGATCTTTCACACATCAAACACCGAATAACATTAATTAGAGGCTGATTCAAGCAGTGCAGCAACGTGTACCATGCCCAGCTAACACTAAAGCTCTGCCACCATTGCTGGTCAGCAACCTCTCACTCCAAACCAAAAACCAACTTTTCAATTGCAGTAAAGGCTTCCAAAGGACTCTAATTGTTTGTTACCCCAACCACTTCCGATTTCAGTCAGTTCCTCTCTTTTCTTCTGAGGGACGCACCACTAGTTATTTAAATATTTTCGTTTAGAAATAAAAACTTGGAGTGGCCATAAATGACCTTCCTCCTGGAAACTCACCAACCTGTGTACAAACCGGTAACTTTCATACAATCGCTTCCACGTTGGACTAAGTGAAAAAAACTCCAATTTAAAACATTTATTTTTCCCTCCAGCTTTCAGATCCCAATAAATGAAGAGAGACACAAAACCCATTCTAAATGCTCAACCACAACAGCTGGCATGCCTGGGTCGCTATCAGGTGTTTCAGGATCGTTACCACCTATTCACGTGGTATTCCTGATTAACCTATTCACCACCTGTTCCTGATTAACACCAGGGTGGAGCAGGATCCTGAGCACTAAAGCCTAGGTGATAGTCCATCCTGCTAAGAAGAGACTGGAGATAAACTCAAGGGCAAGCCAAAACTTTAAGTAGCTAGTTAAGTACTTAGGAGTTAGCACGAGTTCAGATGTTCAAACTGCTTTAAACTCAAGCACTTGCACGGAGTAGCACAAGTGCCACAATAAAATCCTATTTTATAGCTGCACGGCCCACAGGTACCACGTGGCTGTACTGCCTACTTAAACTACTTTTTTACTCACTGCTGTCTTAAAAAGAAACCCTCAAGCTCCATTTCCCCCCTTCTAAACACAAGCAGGTGAGCGAGGCCGCACCAAAAATAAAGTCACGTGCATTTCAAACACTGTGTCATGTCCCAAGCAAAGCCACTGCTCCAGTGCAGTCAGAATTAATGAAATGTGATGCATCTCCCTTGAATGAGAGCCCCGAGCTCAAGGCGAGGCTGGGATATTATGTAATCCTGCTCTGTAAGCCCACTCCTGCTACATGTTCCCTACGGAATCCAGCCCTCTCGGAGCTCGCACAGAACCCAGCGCCAGCCCCTGGTGGGAGCAGGGCAAGGGGCAGTGCTGGACACTGATCCCAGAGTGACCCTTTAACCTGGGACACTCAGACGGGAACCTGAGGGACAGCTGCTTCACAGGATCATGGAATGGTTGGGGATGGAAGGGATTTTGGCACCCATCCAGTGCCAACCCCGTGCCACGGGCAGGGACACCTTTCTCTGGCCCAGGGTGCTCCAAGCCCCATTCAACGCGGCTCGAACATTTCCAGGGACCCAGGGGCATCCACAGCTTCTCCGGGCAACCTGTGCCAGGCCTCACCATACCCACAGTAAAGAATTTCTTCCCCAATATCCAACTTAACCCAAGTAACCATCAGTTTAAAGGCACTCCCCCTTGGTCTGTCATGGCACGCTCTTATAAAACAGGCTTTCCCCATCTTCCCTGTAAATTCCCTTCAGGTACTGGAAGGCCCCAGTTCGGCTACCCAAAGCCTTCTCTTTTCCAGGGTGAACAACCCCAATTCTCTCAACCTTTCCTCAAAGGAGAGACGCTGCATTCCTCTGATCAACTCTGTGGCCTGTTCTGGGCTCGCTCCGACACCTCCATATCCCTCATTACCGTCTGTCTGGAGTGACCCGTTTAACCTTGAGGACTGTGCCCACACAGCCGGGAACCGGCGGGTTGTGCCCGGCCATCCCCGCAGACCGGGCTGTGCCCGCCGACTGAGGGCAGGCACCGGGCACCGCCCGCTGCTCCCTCTGGCCGTGCCCGGGAAGCTGCCGGCGTGGGGAAGCTGCACAGCCCCTCCGCAGGGCAGGAAGGCCGGCCCGGCCCCCTTGTCCCCACAGCGGGGCTGCAGGTACCGGCCATGCCCGCAGGGAACCCCCCTCGCCCCCCCGGCCACGCTGCCTCCGAGGCGGGCGGGAAAGCGGCCGCTACTCACAACTCCAACATCCACTGGCCCTGCAACACCAGGCTCCAGTTGGAGCCGCACAGCACTCGCACGCTGCTCCGCGGCTCGCCGGGGCTGTAGAAGGACGAAGAAAAGGCGGCGGCGGGACCCAGCAGCGCCACGAGCAGCAGAGCGCGGAGCAGCCGCCGCCCCTGGCGCCAGCGGCCCGGCGCCATCTTGGGCCCGTCCGCCCGCCCTCAGGAAGTCGGGGCAGGAGCGGCCCCGCGGGGGCGGTGCCTGCGCGGGCAGGGGCGGCTCCTCCGGCCCGCCCCGCCCCTCACGGCCGGGCACAGGCCCTGGTCCCCGTGCCCGCCCCTCACGGCTGGAGCGGCCGGGCACCGGCTCCGAGCGGTCCCTGTGCCCATCCCTTACAGCCAGAGCGGCCGGGCACTGACCCCGAGCGGTCCTCAGCCTGGAGTGGTGCTCCAGCGGGCCTCTGGGCACCTGCTCCGGCCGCAGCTCGCGGCGTTCTCGACCAGGTTTGCGGAGCTTTCTGTCCCCGGTGCCGTGTGGTGGGAGCTGGTTGAGCAGCGGTGATGGCTCCAGTTTGTGCTGTGAGGCACCGACGCTGCGGGATCGCCCTAAAGCGAATGCTCCCCGTTCCGAGGGGCTATGGCCCTTTCCCCCCCTTTTCTACTGCTAATAAGAATCCCAGAGCAGTTCGGGATTCTGTCCAAGCCCCTGCCAAGGCGGGGTCACCCGGAGCAGGTGACACAGGAGCACCTCTTGTCATTACATTGCAAGGGTTCCATATTCCCATAGAGTTTTTTACCTCCCTGATGTTTCTCACAGACCGCCCCTCTAGGCATTGACTCATCCTCACAGCAGCCAACTAAGTCCAGTTCCCACCAACCCACTCTTTTATAACACTCTTCTATTAGCTACAGCTGTGGCCTGTTAACATCAGGCCTGCTCCTAATCCTTAACAATTGGCTCAGCTGTAACTCTTTAGGGGGTAAGATTACTTTCTATACCAACTTTATTTACTTAGATTACTTTCTATACTATCTTTATTTACTTATGTTCTATCCCCCTACACCTCCAGGTGAGTTTGGAATCTCTTCAGACAGGAATGCTCCATGGCTTCCCTAGGCTGCCTTTCTGGTGCTTTGTCAACCTGAACGTAAACAATGTCTTCTTCATGTTGAGGTGAAACTCCTTGACTGGGGCTGTGTTTTCCTTGACTCCAGTCAGCCCCATCCTTCTGGCTTACCCAGGTCCCTCTGACCAGCAGCCCTGCCCTTGAGTGGGATGACTACACTCTTAGTTAATGGAAATTAAGAAAATCAAATTCTTTAGTTAGCTTGGTAAACTAACCAGGAAAAAAAAACTAGAAGGGATCACTGTACAGGTCTAGACTGCCTTCTTGTCTGTTGTGAAAATCTTTGTTTGGCTGGAGATTATCTTGGCATAGAAGTAACTTGTGCTGAACAACTTAATAACAGTTACTCAACACAGTGCTGGTAAGTCCTGTTGGTAAAACACTCACACTTTATTTCCCTCAGCAGAGGAAATAGTAGCATTTATCACCTGTGAATTTTGTTGCACTTTACCAGTTTATTTTATGAGGCTCCTTTACATCATTTCTGTATTTCCCCACAGGATTCTGGGTTTGATCAAACCTTTCCTTAAAGCCCAAGTGCTGGTCTGGCCTTTATTGTCACTGAAGCAGACTCAGGTTAATATTTGGTGACAGAAGCAGAAGATGGCCCTAGCACCACTCTCACTATGCAGAAATGGAACCATGACAGAATGTTTTTCTCTTTTTTTATTTATCAGGAGTAATGAGGCCTCTCCCAATGACTCAGTGCCTCTGTCCTCACCAGGTATTCCAACAGTACCTGCCCTGACCAAAGAAGAGTGTTGCTGACAGCTTCCCAGCACTGCAGAGATCTCTTCATTTTCTGAGCCATCTTGCCACTGCAGTTAATGCCAGCTGAGGATTAAATAAGTAAAAGCCTCTCAGAACACGATTCTTGTAATATTTTCAATGCGGTGCACTAACTCAGAGTCTCTATATTACAGTTCTTCTAATCCTTTCATGATTTGTAAAAGAAAAAAAAAAAACACACACTTTCTCTAATTTATCATTGCCCTTCCTAAATGGATAGTGTAAAATTGGATGGTTTAGCAATGTTTAGACCTGGAATATGTAGTGAAAAGAAAAAAAAATACAGCAGTAGTATTCATTTGAGAAGACACACACTTGGCTGATGTTCCTTTGTGAGAAGGTAATAAAGAAGTTACTTTTACTTTTTTTCCCCTTTTCTACTGCTAATAAGAACTTGGGAAACTTGAGGGAAACGTTCTCATCTTTCTATAGATTCTCTAGGGAGAGAAGAAAAAGTGATTGGCCAAAGCAGAGAGAGGGTTGAGATCTGGTGGAGCCAAATTAGGAGAATTTAAGTGACAAAGAACTGATGGTGCAGAAGGGAAGGCTGAGGAACATTTTATTTAGTGGTGATACAGGGTGGTGAACAATTATAGCTGTGTCATTAAAGAACATGCAAATGAAGGGGCTGAGAAGGAACAACATGTAAAACGATGGCTCCAAATAAATGGGAGTGTTCCTGTGAATTCCAAAGAACGAGGAAAGAAAAACTTACTTTGTAACTAATTTATCAGTAATTTCTAGCCACATCCAGCACAGAGGAGGTTTGCATTTCAGCCAAACGCTGATCAGGAAGGAGGCAGAGCTGGTTTCGTTCCTGAGAGAGAGCAGAGTGTTCCTAAGTCAGGGGAGATGTCATGGAGCTGCTAATCCCCGAGAAGTAGGTCAGGCTGGCCAGGATGGAGATGGCACACCTCATTGAGCCTGATTAGGAACATCCATTAGGAAATGGATGAAAAGAGAAAGCAAGGAGGGCCGGTCAGAGAAAACAAGGGTCTGGGCCAGACCTTCCCTTGCTTCTGTGGTGACTTCAATTACTCTGTTCCTTACACAATTTACCCTCCCTTAGTTTCAGTGGGTTTCTGTTAACCTGCCCTGCTCCAGCCCTTACAGTGCGTGTGTGCTGCTCCGTGGGCTCTGCACATGGAGAGCCACAGTTTCCAGCTTCCAAACCCTCACTGCTGCTGCAGAACAGCTGCAGGAATCCAGCTGCCACTTTAGGTTTCCACAGCTGGTGATTGCAGTGTAGCCATGACCCCCAGGTGAGTTTTGGACAGAATTTGATTAAAAAATAAATAAATTTTAAAAAATTATTGTCTGTGTTTGTTTGTTTTAACCTTGATGATAAAATGGAAAGTTCAAGTACAGTGTGGAAAGAACAAGTGAAGCTTTCAAGGAGGGAAGGATGCCAACCTGACTTTCTCTTGCTCTGTGACACTCAGCTCACAAATATTTCTGTGCTGGAATGATAATTTATCTGGGTGACCAGCCCTTGCTCTGCACAGAGGACACCACCTAAATACATTGTTTCCTAGACCTCCCCATCGGTAATTTCGCTGTTTCTCTTGAGCAGTGTGAGCAAGGCAGGACTTTGTGTTTTACCACTAGTTTCCGTACAGGGAGGCTGCTGAGCTAGGTGACTTTTAAAAGTCTGACTTCCCACTCAGACTTCTGTGTCTTTATGTTCACTGAACTAAAATTTGCCTCCTCTGATAGTGTGGTTTTCTAGTGGAAAAAGAAGAGAGTTTAAAATTTTAGAGGTTTTAGGTGTGTGGCACAGAGGATGAAGCTGGAAAATTCTTTCCCAACTTTCCTTAACTTGGTTTCTACTAGGTTTATTTTCTACTTTATTGAATGTTGTCCTATTATTAGTTTGTGTGGGTGTCTTGTGGTAAGGAAAGGTATTCCAGCATTCTTGACATATTTTCTCTCTCTGTGTGCCATGATGGATTCATGACACTGCCTAGAGCAGAATAAATTACTGCAACACTCATTTTCCTAAAATACACCTGATATCACCAGCTACGTCATTTTTTCCAGTTCTCTACTGGATTTCCAGAACTACTCTCCTAAACTTTTGGAATTTGCTCTAGATGGGTTGGTTGTGAAACCAGAAAATAAGAAATTATCATCGCACAGACAATAGCAATGTTGATATTTCCAAATTTAATTTGTACATTTGTCTAACAAAACAACACAAATAACAGTTGCAATATACTTTTCACTATGTGAATGCTAAAAGAGTTTTATAACTTAAATAATGTAGTAGAGAATAAATAAGATGTGGCCAAAATACATATTCAATGCATTTTTTTCCATGGATTTATTAACAATGAATCTTGTTATGTTTGAGGAGAATGGTTTGGTTTAGAACAGACAAATCAACAAATACACAGCACTGTAACTGTTGGGAAGTCACCAGGGCCCTGCCTTTGATATCCAATACAAATGAACAAAAGCTTTTAGACAAAACTTCGACTTTGACAAGGAATGCTCATATCTGTGCTTCAAAAACCAGACTAAAGAATTCATTGGAATATTAAAATAATATACATGAAGAGCTGTCTGCTTCATATTCATCAAGTTAATGTGAATCTAATGACTGCTCACCAAAAGGTAGGTATGCAATGAGAGGAGGAAATCATATTTACAGGGTACTGTCCCCAGAATACATCCAGTTGAACATCTCTGACTTACTTTGAGTTTTGCTGGTCTCCAGAAATGTGAGGAACTAGTCCTGCCAAGATTTGGAGACAAGTTATCAGGAGTATTCAACATTGAAAAATATACCTTATTATCAAAAAATATCACTCTCACTTTTATTCTTCTTACACAGGTAAGCTGATGTGCACCAACAGTTCTTCCCCACCCTCCTGAGTGGCTCTTCTTGATCTTGTAGTTTGTGAAAAGTGCATATTATATGGCTCTGTGCAGATATTCACCATATGTGTTTTGATGTATTGATTAGTAGTGCTATATTAACGTCTAATAATATGATAAATGAAGTCTTGTAGTTAAAAGGTAATTTTTGTGGTTAAAATAAGAACTATGTTAGTGGGATTTTTTTAAGAAAGGAATGAGGCACTTGCACCAGACAGCAGCCCCAGGACACCTGAACCTTTCAGAGAAAAGGAATTTATTGCCCTCTTAGCAGAAGAAACGAACTTCTTCCCACCTCCAAGGTGCTGTCAGGATTAGAAGGAAGAAGTTGATGATGACCAGACCGAATCCTGTATTTGAATGGAATTTATGCATCATGTATGAGGTGTATGACTATGCAACAGGTTATTGCT